GCTCTGCCTTCACCCCTTACTGGGTTTGTGCGATGTCTTTGCCTCCAGACTTTCAGTCACTAGTCCTAACTATTTAGATAGCAATCTTATTTATTTATTTATTTATGGTACTGGGGATTGAACTCAGGGACAATTGATCACTGAGCCACATCCTAGCCCTTTTAAATTTAGAGACCAGGTCTTACTGAGTTGCTCAGTGCCTTGCTTTTGTTGAGGCTGGCTTTGAACTCATAATCCTCCTTCAGTCTCCCAAGCCTCTGGGATTACAGGCATGCACCACCACTCCAGCAAGCAATTTAAATATAGTAGTTAGAAATGATCACTTTCAAAATAAAATTACCTAATAGGAACACTTAAATTTGGTGCCAGTCATAATCCCAAAAGACATGCTCCAGAACTTCGTAATACTGAATGTTGGACACCCAAAGATCAAAATTCCTAAAGTATAAAATCTCCCAAATCACAATCCCAAAAGATTACAATCCCAAAGGTTTAAATCATAAAAGCAGGAATCCCCCAAACGATGATTTCCAAGTGTGCGTGTGGGGGTGGGGGGCATATATGAGTAGTGTGATTAGTGCATTTTCAGTTGTATGTGAAATATTTGCATCATACTAGGAAGAACAAATATTCAATGGTGACAGATAAAGTTTGCAAGATGATTACTATTGGCGTTGCAAAAATAGAAAATTGCTTAATTGCAACAGTCAGGCAATTACCAGACTTTGAGATGGGAAGCATATGTTTGCAAAACTTGGAGATTGCAGCCAATCTCCAAATATGAGTGCACTGAATGTTTCAAAGATGAAAAAGGAAGTAAAAACACAATCAAAATATACCAGAAGTCTCCCCTGCCAAATCATTCAGTTGTGGGCTACTTCTTCCCCTTTTCATGTATTGACATACTCACCTTCAAAAATGTCCTTTGTCAGCGTTGGAAAAAATTGACAAGCTCGCAGACCTCCTCAGTTATCTACTCTTAGGGATCTGACTGTCAAAGAAGATAGACTTGCATTTACCATTAAATCTAACACTGAAAAACTAACACATGCTTCATTTTGACTAACAGATACCACTTTCAAAACTAGTGCCACTGATGTTTATCATCTTTAGACCATTTGTGCCCCGGCTGGATCCGAAAATTCTAGAACTTACCAACTCATCTATACATTAACAAGTAGAAAAAACAATTCACTTTATAAACTCTTCCTATTAGTCAGGGTTCTCCAGAGGAACAGAACTACAGGAGGTATAATTATAAAAAGGGAATTTATTAGATTGGCTTACACAGCCAGAAGCTGGATAGTCCACAGTGGCGGTCTGCAGGCTGGGGAGCTGGAGGAACCAGAAGCTGCGCAGTCCAAGATGTTGACCTCAGAACAAGAGGGATCAGTGATGCTACCCTAGTCTGAGACTGAAGGCTTCTGGAAACTCCCTGAAGAACACCGGGCAGTCCACCTTGAAAGCGTGAAGGTGTGAGAGTCTGAGGTCTCAGGCAATCGTAGCAGCAATCAAAGACCTGTTCAAGGAGAACCAAGCTTGTTTGCTGCTGCTTCCTTGTTCTTCCAAATTTATTCAATCAAAGCCTCCAACCTATTGGACGGTGCTGCCCACACTTAAAGGATGTCTCCACTTCAGTTGGCTATCCCACATGTCAATCATTCCTAGACACACCCTTGGAGACACACCCAGAAGCCTCTTAATCTTCAGCATCTCTTAATCCAATCAGGTTAACAATTAACCATTTAACCATTTTCAAATTAACCATTGTACTCTTTTTTAAAAAAAGTATATATATATTTTTAGGTGTAGATGGACACAACACAATGCCTTTATTTTTATATGGTGCTGAGGATCCAACCGGGTCCTGCCCTGGGCTAGGCCAGGGCTCTACTGCTGAGACACAATCCCAGCCCCCCCCCACACACACACATTGTACTCTTATTTGAAGATGGAAATGAACTTCAACCGAGTCCCTAGACCATAATGACAGATTTGGAATTAACTGTGGTCAAGACTTCCAAAAGTGAATTTTAAGATGCTGCCAATAAAGTTTGTTTTTCCCTTCAGCTGGTGCATTTGGCAGAAAGTTCACATAAGTGGATTGGCTATGTGGTCTGTAAGTGGATTCACACAAGTGGATTCATAGGGCAGAGACAAAATGTTCAGTTTAAAAATGCATCATTTTTTTTTGCATTGGCATTTCTTCCAGCTGATAAAATTTCAGGAAATCTGACTTACTTAAAGCTGTATTTGCCTAAAGAAGCCAGTGGTTTCTGACTGACTCAAAAATAATTTTAGGCACAGTAGAATAAGATATGTACTAGTGTTGCTATTTAATCACCAGTATTGTTTCTGCCAAATTTGTCATCTATATGTATAAATCCTTGTGGAGCAGATTATTTAGCAAGGAAAGCTCATGTTGGTGCATATAAGATCATAGAATGTCAAAAAGAGCAAAAATTTTAAAGGTTTTTTAGAGATTATTTTTCCAGAATTATACTTTTGGGGTTTTGATCTTTCAGGATTTTAGACTTCGGAGATTTTGATCTTCAATATTTCAACATTATTTGGGATTGTATCTTTCAGGATTATGGCCCAAACCCACTTAATGTATATTATTTTCATCTGTTCTGGCTGATATAGCAAACTATCAGAAAACAGTAGTTTATAAGCAAAGAGAATTTTATTTCCCTTAGTTCTGGAGATTGGGAAGTCCAAGATCAAGACATGAGCAGATTGGGTGTGGGGTGAGGGTCTGCTTTTCTGGTTCATAGATGGTGCTTTCCTGTGTGGTATCTTGTGGTGGAAGATATGAAGCTGTCCCTCAAGACTCTTCTATAAAGGCACGAATTCCATTCATAATGGCTGTTCCCAATGTCCCCACCTCACAAAGTCCCTACCTCTTAACACCATCACTCTGGAGTTAGCTTTCATATGAATTTGGGGGGGGCACAAACATTCAGACCACAGCACTCCCCCTTTCACTTTAGTTGTGGTAATGCTTACACATGGCGGCCAGTTAAATACAATGGATTTTGGTTAAAGAGTCAAATAAATTGATAATGATAAATTAAGATTCCACAAAAGTGTGATTGATTTTGTTAAAGGATACAAAGAGCTAACCCCACACTGATTTTTACTGTAGGATTTCTTACTTCTCAAGAGTGATTCTTATCTTTCTTTCATGAGCCAGAAACACCTGGAGCTTACGAGTGCCTCGGGCAAGTGAGTTTGAAGGTCTTCTTGGGACTGAATGAAAGATAATAATCAAAATCTAGGTCAAGATACTATTTATTCTATGGAGAATTGTTTAAGCTAATGCTTTAAATTGAAGTCAGAATACATTTTAATCTATGATTCATACTGTGCCCATCAGACATTCTTAATGACTACACATAGTGTAATCTCATTCTGACTATTTTACTTTGAGGAATTTCCTAACATCAAGTAGTACAGCCATTAAATTATCATTATAAAGATATCAAACTTCCTTCATTGCACCTACTTCTCAAGACACATGTATGAAGTATGTGTCTGAAAGCTTTAGAAACTTCAATATATACCTCTTCAGAGAGATAAGGAAAACAAAGGGCTCATGGTTTAAAAAAAATGTAAAACAGAATAGTGGAAAAAGTAGCAATGAAAAGGACAGAGTTTGGGGTATGAGGAGGAATGTCTACCCCCAGAGGACCAAAATGAAGCCACTGATAGTTATCATTAGCAAGAAGTACCGCATGTTAAATTTTAGGATAATTATTTGAAAAAATGAGGGAAAAACACTTGCATATGAAATAGCAAAGCCTTATAAGATAATAAACTTTGGTGAAGAATGAAGATAATTATCTGTCACAAGTACTTTTATGGGCAAAATTAAATTGTATTGAATATGATTTACATATTTGTATTATATAACAAGTGAATATTTGGTACTTAAGAGCCTGTATATTAACTACATTAAATATTTACTCTGAAAGTTTCTTTTGTCTTTTTAATTCATTCCTGTAGTTGGATATGAACACTGGTTACATATGAAGACACGTTATGTCATACCATCAGTGAAGATAAAGTCAAAGGGAGTTCCTCAAAACTCTGGGACAGCTGCTCTGCTAATATCCAAAAAAATAATAAAAACAGACCAAAACTGCTTCTCTAGTTTAAGATTCCACATAGCAATGGAAACAATAATAAATCATTAAGAGAGGCAGAAATACTGTGTTTGAGTTGTGCTAGGGTAAGCGCTAGAGTTATATTAAAACAAATGTTTGAGTTGTACAGAGTTAATATTTGTATACTCTGAAGTCTAGAGATGTTGAGGGAGGTGGATATGTTGGCCAGGTCCTGCGCTGTGGGGATGAGGGTGTTATTTACAGTAAAGCTCACACATCCAGCAGGGAGGGTTGAAGAGGGGACCACTACTGACTATTCCTTAAAAACCAAAGACAGTAAGGTAATGGAATAGCAACCAACTGGAAAGGTGGATCATATGAAGGAGCAAGGGATTAAGGAGAGTAAAGCCAATTTTCTAGCTCTATTTTATGACCAAAAGATTCACCTTTCTTCCAACTGGTCTCCTTATGATGACCAAAAATCACAAGAAGGCTAAATTGATATAAGGACTTTAGTTACAAATGAATTTCTAGAATAGCGGCTCACTAGCAACAGGGGAAAATTTCTAGTCAATTGGAGAACCCCTGGTCCAATTTACAGTTGAGAAAAGTGAGGTCCAAAGTGAGAAAATGAGCTAAAGGCAGAGTCAGGAGAACCCAGCACAGCCAACTCTTGCAGATTTCTCTCCCACACTAAGAATGGCAGTATGTGATCTCCACTGGAGATGAGATAGATCATTAACATTCACATATAAGCCCCAAACTGCCTTTTAATCAAAATGTCCAACTTTTCCCCTAACAAAATCCAAGTAAATCAGAGAGAAGGGAGACAACCCTGAGGTTTATGGTTTGAATATATCTTCTATTTCTTCTTATTTCTCATGGATTTGCTAATGGCAGTGAAACAACCAAAAATCAGGAAAGGAGAGAAAAGAAAGGATGTAGAAGACCCCTGAAGTGACTAGTCAGTCCCAATGTACTGAACATCAACCCTGGTACATTTATCTGGTACAAATCAGAAGTTTTCATCATGTTCTAAAACCTCAAACAACTCAAGTGAGTCTGGACCTGGTGGAACAATTTCCCTGGACGGTAATGGATGATTTGCCAGCCTCTCCCAGAATGTGCTGTGGCTTTATTATCTGAAACCAAGGCACTGTCTCCCCTCTAGTTGGAACTGAAAATAGCAGTGGTCTTACTGGTGAGTTTTTTCTTTCCATGACTAGATTTGCCTTCCTATCTTTAGGTAAGAGTCTTTAAAATGGAGGAGAGGGGAGGAGAAAGGGTGATATATTCTTTCCCTCTTTTTGGTTCACATCTACTAATTCTATCATCCCAGGAGTGAGAGATCACAAGCTTGGAGAAGGCAGTGGGGATAAGTGAGAGAGAAAGAGAGAGAGAGAGAGAGAGAGAGAGAGAGAGAGAGA